TACTAGACTGTGAACCACAAGGTAAGCAGTTCAAACCCACCTGCTGCTTCTGTGAAACCCTATATAGGGTCACTAGAGTTGGAACAGACTCAAGGACACTTTACAACAACAACAATGACTAATGCTCATGAACATTTGTTCATATATTTGTTGACTGCCTGAATGTATTCCTTGGTGGAATATTTGTGTGTCTTTTTCTTGTAGAAGTGTTGTAATTTTCAGAGACTAGTTCCTTACCTGATATGTTGTTGCAAAATATTTTTTCCCAGTGTGTGGGCTCCTTTTTATTCTTTTGGTGAAATATTTTGATGCACATAAGTGTTTAATTTTTAGGAGGTCCCAGTCTACTAGTGGATTACATGTTGGACTGATAAATACAAGGTCAACAATTTGAATTCACCAGCAGTTCCGTGGGAGAAAGATGAAACTTTCTATTCTGATAAAGATTTATAGCCTCATAGAGCCCTGGTGTGGTGCTGTAGGATAAACATTGCGCCACAAGGTCAGTTTGAACCTCAAGGTCAATGGTTCACACTCACCAGTCACTCCTCAGAAACCATATACAGGGTCACTATGAGTTGGAACTGACTGAACCGCACTTACAAAAAAACAATAAGTTTACACAAGGTTGCTATGAGTCAGAACTGACTCATATACTAAAAATGTTGTTGTGTTGGAAGTTTTAGCCAGAGCTATAAGACAAGAAAGAGAACGTAAAGGATTCAAAAAAAGAGAGCTTAAAGGATTCAAATGCAGTAGCATTTGTATGTTTTAGTTTATGTCTGGCCGTGCATTTATGCCATGTTTTAGAGCTCCTAGGTTTGTCCCTATTTTTTCTTTGATGATCTTTATAGTTTTAGGTTTTGCGTTTAAGTTTCCAATCCTCATTGAGTTTGTTTTTGTAGGTGATGTGAGATCTGGGTCTTGTTTCATTCATTTGTAAATTGATTTCCAGTTTTGACAGCACCATTTGTGGAAGAGACTATCTCATCCCCATTTAATATGTTTTGTGGTTGTTAAGTACCGTGGAGTCGGTTCCGATTCATAGTGACCCTGCACAGAGTTTCTGAGGCTGCAAATCTGTGCAAGAGCAGAAAGCCTCATCTTTCTTCCACAGAACAACTGGTAGTTTTGAACTACTGACCTTGAGGTTAGCAGTCTGATTCGTAACCACTATCTGTTGGTGGTATCTGGATGGATTTACTTCTGGGTTCTCAATTCTGTACCATTTGGCTATGTATCATTCATTGTACCAGTTCCAGGATGTAATAATCAATGTGCCTGTGTAGTAGATTTTGAGATCAGGGACTGAGAGGCCTCCAACTTTCTTTTTCTTTTTAAGCAGTGTTTTGCTTATCTGAGATCCCTTTCCTTTCCATATAGTGATCAGATTTTCCATCTTTTTAAAGAATGACATGGAATCTGGATTGGGATTGTATTATACCTATAGATTGTTTGGGGATATTGTTTACATTTTCACCATGTTAAGTCTCCCTATCCATGAGCATGGTATACTCTTCCACTTTTTAAAGTATCTTTAGGTTTCTTGTAGTAGAGTCTTATAGTTTTCTTAGTATAGGTATTTTGTTTCTCTGGTTAGATGTATACTGAGGTATTTCATCTTTTGTGTGGCTATTTTAAATGGTAAAGAGCTCTGGTAGTGCAGTGGGTATTAGTTGGGTTGCTAACCTCAAGGTCAGCAGTTCAAAACTATCAGCTGTTCTACAGGAAAAAGATGAGACTTTCTGCTCCCATAAAGATTTGCAGCCTTGGAAACCCTATACAGGGTCGCTATGAGTCAGAATCTACTTCACAGCATGTAACCCACAACCAACCAATTGTAAATGGTAGTATCTTCCAAATTTCACTTTCAGAGCTATCTTTATCAGTGTTGAGGAATCCAATTGATTTTCCTTATACCTTAAATTATTAGTCCAATAATTTTCTTACAGAGTATTTGGGATTTTCAATGTATAGGATCATATCATTTGCAAATAGAGTTTTACTTCGTCGGTAGTTCAGAATCCTTTAAGTTCTCTTTCTTGTCTTATAGCTCTGGCTAAGACTTCCAACATAATATTAAATAGGAGTTGGTGATAAAGGGCATTCTTGTCTGGCTCCTGTTCACAAAGGGAATGCTTTTAGTTTTTTCCCCTTGAGAGTAATTTTGGCTGCTGGATTTGTACACATACTCTTATTGTATTTATGTGCCATAGAGTTGGTTCTTACTCATAGCAACACTGCACAGGGTTCCAAGGAGCAAATGGTGAGTTTGAACCACCAACCTTGCAGTTCAACTGACCTTGAGGTCATTTGCCTTTCCTATGGTGTCACACCAGGACTCTTAATTATGTTGGAAAATTTCCCTTCTCTTCTTACTTTTTTGAGTGTTTTTATCAGGAATGGATGTTGTATTTTATCAAATGTCTTTTCTGCATCAATTAATACGATCATGTGATTCTTTTCTTTTGTTTTATTTATGTGGTGACTTATGTTGATTGTTTTTCTAATATTGAACCATATTTGATATGAATCCCACTTGGTTATGATATGTTATTTTTTGATATGTTGTTGAATTCTATTGGCTAGGATTTTGCTGATTACTTTTGCATCTATGTTCATGAGGGATTGTTGTTGTAAAGTGCCATTGAGTTAGTTCCAATCCATAGTGACCCTGAATAGGGTTTCCAAGGAGTAGCTGGTGAGTTTGAACCACTGATTTGCAGTTCAAATGGACCTTGTAGTCTAGTGTGTTAGTCCTCAGTGCCACACCAGGACTCTGTTCATGAGGGATATTGGTCTATAATTTTCTTTTTTAATGATGACTTTGCCTCATTTTGGTATGAGGATTATGCTTGCTTCATAAAATGTACTTGAGAGTTTTCCATCTTTTTCTATGTTCTGAAATAGTTTGAATGTAATTTGTATCAGCTCTCCTCTGAATGTTTGTTAGAATTCACCAGTAAAGCCATCTGGGCCTGGACTTTTCTTGTTGGGAGTTTTTAAAAACTAACTGATCAGTTTCTTCTTTGGTTATAGTTCTGTTCAATTTTTCTACTTCTTATATTAAAAATACACTCTCCAGAAGAAAAGATTAATAAGGATTCCATCAAAGAGTATGATGAGTTAGAAAACAGAAAAATAGAAAGCATCAATAAGAAAAAAAACATTGATTCCTTGGAAGGAATTAATAAACTTCAAAATCCATGGACAAATCCAACATAATAGAAAAATAATATGCAAATAACTAAAATCAGTTTGTGGACTAGATCAAGACCCTTTCTTGACAGGCTGTTCCCTTCCCTAACTGTCCTAGGAAAGGAATTCCTAGTAAGAAGTCTCCCTTGGTCCCTCTTTATCTCATTGTTCCTCAGGGTGTTTGTGAGAAAGTTGAGCAGCGGGATGGCTGCTCTGAGTCTCAGAGCGCGAAGTTGATCTGACTTGAGGTTTCTCTGGAGTCGGGGCACAGCTATCCCTACATAAAGAAGCAACAGCCCATGCTGCCGCTTTTTATCATCTTCTGTTAGTGGAAAACATGTGAATTTTCCTTCTCTGATAGTTTTCTGCTTACACAGGTTTTGACTTGCCTAGCAATGATTGTGGAGTCCTGGTGTGGCGCTGTAGGTTAATAGGTCAAACGGCAAAGCCATTTGAACTGCAAGGTCGGTGGTTCAAGCTCACCAGCTGCTCCTAGGAAACCCTATACAGGGTCACTATAGGTCAGAATCGACTCGATGGCACTTAACAACACAACAGCAAAGATTGTGAGAATGGTGGAGGATTGGGCAGTGTTTCCTTCTGTTGTGCATAGGGTCACTATGAGTTGGAACCAACTTAATGGCACCTAACAACAACAGCAACATACTTGCTTAGCCAATGAATGCTCATCTTTGTCCCTTTACTGGCATGGAAGAATGGCAAAAAAAAAAAAAAAAAGGCGGTGTCCAGGTGGGAAATATAGAAGGAAGGAAATAAGTGCATGAAATAAACCATTGTTTGCTATACACTAATATCTAAAACAATAAAAAAAAGTTTAGTTGAGTAAAATATATGTCTTTATAAGTATTCCTTAAGGCATTGTTCACAGGATAATTTATTATCATTGACTACTTAAGAGGAGTCCTGGTATGGCACTGCAGGTTAGTGCACTGGACTGCCAAGGTTGGTTTGAACAGCAAGGTTGGTAGTTCAAGTTCACCAGCCACTCCTCAGAAACCCTAGACAGGGTCACTATGGATCAGAATTGACTTGATGGCACTTAACAACAACAACTGAAGAGGCAGATTCTCTAAAGGTTGCTGTTGTTGTTTAGTACCCCCGAGTCACCGTCTTTGCAGTTCAAACCAACCTTGTGGTCCAGTGCTAATCCTACAGTGCCACACCAGGACTAAAAGTGAGCATCTTTTATTCATAGCATGTATTGGTACTTCCTAATAGAATAGTTGCCATGAGTGAGCCATGAACTTCTAAAATTCAGCTAAGTCCACTAAGAAGGAATTATTGGTTTTGTGGTATACTTCTCACCTTCTAGGCAAAAGCCTTTGGTATGATTTCCAGTCTCTGTACTTAATGTGCAACCTCCACCATCTGCCAGTGGAGGAGTGTGTGGCTATGATGCGCAACAGTCAGTGGTGCTTCTAAACTAGAAAGAAATCATGGTGACCTCTTTCTGTAAACCAACCAAGGAAAACCCTAGAGATTACTATGGATGACAACAATCTCATCTGCAACCTGCTATGGGGATGGAGCAGGCCCTAGTAACTTCTTCATTCAGTTGTGAATTAGACGGTCATGGGCTAGGGGCTGACTCTACTAACAACTAGATTAGAGGTACCTACATTGGAAGTTGTGCTCAAATCTTCAGATCTAATTCAAAGCACTTTTGGCAAATGAGTGCAGATTGGGGCAAATACAGCAAAGGAGAAATATCAAAATGTAGAACTGCAATTCTATATTGTAGTAAAGAGTTCATTTTCATGGTGACTTTGAAGACCCAGTCTTCAATGGGTGTCAGAAGCTGCTTTGTTGATGATAGCATTTCTCAGAGCACCTTTCACATCCTTGTTTCGAAGAGTATAAATCAGGGGGTTGAGCAGGGGTGTGACAAAGGTATAGACCAGGGCAATTTGTCGATCCTCATCCTCTGAGGTGCTGGATCGGGGCCGCAGGTAGACCAGGCTACAACAGCCATACTGCAGCAAGACCACTGTGAGGTGGGAGGAACAGGTGGAGAAGGCCCGGTGGCGGCCCTCAGCAGAATTCATGCGTAGGATGGTCAGTGTGATGAACACATAGGAAACACAGATAAGAAGAAAGGGTACAGTCAACACAAGGATGCCCACCACATAGAGGACAGCCTGGTGCACGCGGGTGTCAGCACAGGCCAGGCGCAGAACTGGAGGGACATCACAGAGGAAGTGGTTGATTTCCCGGAGGTGCCCACAGAAGGGCAGTGTGAAGATTAAGGCTGTGAGCTGCAGTGAGAGGGAAAGGGCCAGGGCCAGGGACCCAACCACCATCTGGATGCACAATTTCTGGGTCATGATGAGGGTGTAGTGCAGTGGGTGGCAGATGGCCACATAACGATCATATGCCATAACTGCCAAGAGGAAACAGTCGGTACTGCCAAGGGTGACAAAAAAGAACATTTGGGCCCCACAGCCTGCCAAGGGAATGGGCGTCTGGGACCCCAAAATGTTAGAGAGCATCAAGGGCACCACAACAGAAGTATAGCAGATTTCTAGGAAAGATAGATTGGACAGGAAGAAGTACATCGGAGTGCGGAGGGAGGTATGGGTGCAGACCACCCAGATGATAGCTGTGTTGCCACAAAGGATCATCAAGTAGAGGAGGAGGAAGAGAAGGAAGAGGAGGACCTGGAATTTCGGGATGGCAGTGAACATGCGGAACACAAACTCAGTGGGGCCAGACTGGTTGAGGACAAAGTTCCATGCAAACATTTCTCCTGCAAAAAGAGAATAAAAGCGTTGGATCATCAATTGCTGAGTTGTTTAACCGCCTGAATAAAAGCATCCATTTCAAATTTGACTTTGCAATTGCCTATGTAGCATCTAGTTTCCAATCACAATGTTTGGGGACAAATTACCAGTTGTTGTTACGTGGCATTGAGTTGGTTCTGACCCATAGTGACCCCACATAGGGTTTCTGAGGAGCAGCTGGTGAGCTTGAACCGCTGACCTTGTGGTTCAAACCAACTTTGCAGTCTAGCACATTAAC